TTCAGCATTTTGTGAAAATTGAAACTCTAGGATTTTTTTTTTTTTTTAATGATTTCCTTTGTTACAAAATTTCATCAGATTTTCCTGTTATGGGCAAACTTTAAAAGCCTTTTTCTTAATACTATACTGAAGTTTTAAACAGAAACTAAAGATAGAAAGTCTTAGAGGATATTATTCTCTGTTCTCAACCAAAAATCAAGAAAAAAATATATTCTTACCCTTTTTACATTAGCTGTCCCAATATTTGGTGCCTTACACACAGCTACATCTGTAGGAGATGCAAGATAAATCCTTTTTGAATAATGAAAAAGGGTTTATTAACCCACATTTGTAAAGAATCTTGAAGGACAGCAGCATAAGCAAAAGTGTTTATTTAGTCTTTACTTATTTATGTAGATAATTCACTCTCCGGTCTTCATTTCAGTGGGTGATGGGTAATGTGACCAGAGGGCCACAAAAGACAGGCCCAGAGAGGAGCAAGTGGAGATGCTGCGAGGTGCACTGGAATAGACTATGCCTCGGGAGCCTTAGAGAAGCATCTCCCTGGCAGACAGCAGAAGAGCTTTCTTGGAGAATGGGGTCTTGTTGGCTAGGCTAGGCTAAATTAGGCTAAGCTACAGTCACAATCACCAAAAATCAGTGGCTTTACAGAGAAAGTTTATTTACCACTCTTGTACTCTAGTGCAGCCCGCCCCTGCTTTAGATTCCAAGGCTGCATGCAGCACCAGAAGAAGAGAGAGCTGGAGGATTGCATGGGATGTTTTTCTGGGCCAGGCCTGAAAGTGGCACAGGTCACTTCAACCAACATGTCATTGGTACAGCCATACTCACTTGGCCCCAACTCCAAAGGAGACTGGGAAATGTAGTTTAGTTGTTTGTGCGCCAGAGAAGAGGAAACTGGTGAAGAACACACAGAATTTCCGCAGGGGAGAGGGTGACTGCAGAGGAGAAGGGCAAAGGGGGCAGATATATGGCAGCTGTATGAAAGTCTATACAGCTGATTCTCTTGGAGCCTTTGGCCTGGGATGTGCAACAGACACCGTCCTTTCCTATATTAAGGCACACTTTTCATTACACTTGGCTAAATAGAAAGATGGCAAATTTAAGTGCAAATCAGACAGCCATGGCATCCTGGAATCCACACTTCTGGATTAGCTATGCTACACATTTTTGCACAGGCAAAATTCATGATAAATTGGAACCTGAGGAGAGTGCAATGCCATACCCTGAAATTGCATGTTTCCGGTAGGGCACTGGCTTGAATTACTTGAGGGGCCCAAGCCTCCTCCTCCGTGCACTCTCTTCCAAACTATACCAGAGGAGAGAGAGAACACTGCTAGCAGGAACTCCCAAGTCTCTCACTCTTCTCTGCAATCAGGTTTGTGGCTTACAGTGGGAAGAGTGGACTTTTGCTGAGTGAGGGGCGCACCTACTTGTAACTCATTCTGGCTACTGCTTTCAGAGTGGGTCAAAATCCCTCAGACCAAGATTCAAGCAAAGAAACAATTTCTTAAGACGCTTGCCTTTTAACTGCATCATAGTTATCCCTCACCTCACTTCCACCCTGGGGTCTCTATAAGCATGGCCTGATACTGTCCACTAGGACTGGCAGGGGAGAGTCTGGAGATTTCTGACTTGGGTCTTCGGACTTTCCAAATAGGCTAGTAAATCCCAGCTCTGAGCTGTGACGCCCATGGATGTGTCTGGTTGCCTAAGTGTGAATTTATCACTAAGTCTGAAATCAAAATATAATTTAATTTGGTTTACATCATTATTTACAGGAGCAAGAGGGCTTTTTCCAAGGGGGGATTTTGGCCCAGAAGCAGAGATCCCAGTGCTGCCCAGTCTTTCTGTCTACCCTTTACTCTAAACTGACCGGCATTGCTGTGTCCCTTGTCACTGATGGAGGTGGCCCATCAGCCCTGAGTCAGGACCAACTGCCATGTTAAAGGGGCTTGAGAATGGGCACATCTCTAGAGCAGATACCGGGCACTGAACTAGTACAGGCCCCAGGATATCTAAATAAAAGAGACCAGGGGCAGCAAGGCAGTTAGAGAAACATGGCCAGGCTTGGGACTGGTCTTGAAGCAGCATTTCTATTATAGCAGCTGCACTGTTTTGACAACACTGGATCTTACTGGAAGGGGAGAGGGGGAGGAAAATTGAGAGGGAGGTTAATCTTTCCCCCACCCTCACCCCACTTTCCACCCTCTGGAGTCTATCCCTAGGTTCTCATTCAGGTTTCTCTAGGTAAATGGTTGGGACAAATATCCATTCTAGTAGCAAGCCACGCTTACCTTGGAGCTGGTGCACCCTACCGCTGCCAGTGTGCACCCTTTGTCTCCACCAGGGTTAAGAAGGGGTGGTGGTCTCCTTCTCCTAGCCTCTTACCAGGTAAAGGAACAGAGGGAGAGGAGAATAATAGCACTGTCCCTTGCCTTGATTGTATAAATGTATGAGACTCTGGCCATGTTGAGAGGCGCTGAACACCTGGAATGTGACATGGAAGCAGCTTCCCTGGAGGAACAGATGGCACCACAAGAGCAAAAGACCTTTGCAAACTGTAAGAGCCCAGATGTAAGCAGTGCCCCTCCTCTTCATTCTAATGCACCATCTGCACCTGTTTCTGCTTCATTCTGAAGCTTGCTCCTCTTCCGGTGAACACATCTTGCCTTGGCTGGGTCCAGCTGGACGAACCTAGGACGGTGTTCATACATTCTTCTTGCCATTCTTTCTGGCAGCATCATCAGCACTGATGTTCTTAATGATGACATGAGGGTGTCTGAGACAATGAAACAGGCTCCCCACCTGGCATGGTGTTTGCCTCCCCAGTGCCAGCAGGGGGCCCCGTGACCTTGTGAGAAGGCTCCCTGACACCTTGGGAGGGAGGGCCGGTCCCAGCAAAATGAATGTCATTCCCGGGGCCTTTGATTCCCACCGAGCGGGAGCCACGAACGAGTGTCCTGGCCAGACCCCTCTTCTAAGGGCTCCCCATAGGCCAGGGGACTAGGCGTTGCATCTACGAGAAGAGAGGGAGACGGGTGCACTGCTGGTGCCAGGTTGTTTCCTGCTTTATTTTGTGTGCTGTGTGCTCTGCAGGGACCTTTTGAGCGTCTCACAGTCCTGCTTCTCCTTTGCAGCCAGGGAACATGGTGGGTTTGCCTCTTAGGTCCTCATTAGATTTTTCAGCAGCTGCTCCAGCTTTTCTTTCTCTTTTTACAGAACAGAGAACAATTGGAGACCTGCTTTCTAAAGAAAAAAGGCTGGTGCTCGAAGGAGGTTTTCAAAACTCCAAGAAGACAGAGAGGGATCCCATGAGAGTGCAGAGGGTACCTGGTCTTGGGCACCTCCAGCCAACTCCTCACACAGGAGATGGTCCTTGTCCTCCCAGCCCACTCCTCATTTCCAGTGCTTTTGTACTGGACCATTTCAGCTGTAGACTTGCAGAACTGGGCTCTAGCCTGTTACCAAAAAAAAAATCCCCTTTGCGGCTAGACTGAATTGTAGTCTTCTAGAAATTCTCCAGGTGTGTTTTCTGATTTAAGGGGAAAAACCAGCATCTGGAAACTCGGTGTGTTCTGATGTCTGCTGGTAAACAGCAAATTGACACCAGAGTAAGTTATTTCTCAGGTATATGGTTATTTCATCCTTGTAAATAGTTCCAAAGGGAAAAGGTGTTTTATTTTAAGGAGCACTTTCAAACCTATTATATGAGGGCTGCTGAGTAACCAGCATCTGTGGTCAGAGGCCTGGTGATCTGTTTGCTGTCATTCTCTGCTTTTTCGTTGGTGCTTTCTGGAGGACAGCAGGTTGAGGATGAAGGAAGGGTCAGTTCCAGGCTCAGCTGTGGCCTTTAGTCAGCTGCAGATCACTTTGATGGGTAATTCAGGGAAAAAAAAAAATTGACCTGGGTCATGCTTGGTGACAGCCAGACCAAGACCAAGATGACACAGTGATACCATCATAATCCCAGATTTAATATAATTTTCATAATTGCATATTAGTACTCAAGACACTATAGCTAGAAAAACAGCCCCCAATGAGTCATTTTTGCATCAAGTGTACTCGTAGAGATCATTTTTCATGATTCCTCAGTGGTCCCAGCAATTATCTTCATTGAAAGTACTGTCGTGAATGTAACTGGGACTCAGGCACAGGAGGAAAAATACCCTAAGCTTGGTTCTTTCTTCTTTTAGAGTTTGCAAATTTTGACCAACAGACATGGTTAATAAGACTATGCTTTTAAAAAACCTATATTTTATATTTATTTTATTTTTTAATTTTGTTAGTGACAGGGTCTCACTATATTGCCCAGGCTGGTCTCGAACTCCTGAACTCAAATGTTCTTCCGACCTTGGCCTCCCAAAGTGCTGGGATTACAGGTGTGAGTCACCATGCCTGGCCTAAGACTATACTTTAAACAAACTTTTTAAAAAAGTGGGTTGATACATTTTATAGATGTTCATTTAATACACAACTGTTTTAGGAAAGCGATTCCAGGTCAGTTTTCTGAAATCTGTGGCAACAAATGTGTGGATATATCAGAAATAGTATTTGTTTTTATTAAAATATATTCTATGTGCCTTTTGATTCCTTTTTGATGGAAGGGCATCTTATACTTTCATTTGTGTGTATATATGTATATATATGTGTGTGTGTGTATATGTGTGTGTATATTATATGTGTGTGTATATATATGTGTGTATATGTGTGTGTATATGTGTGTGTATATTATATGTGTATGTATATATATGTGTGTGTATATATATGTGTGTGTATATATATGGAGTAACAATTTGTCGATTCTAGTCAACTGCCTTTGACTACCTGGGTCAAGCAATTTTCCACCAGATAAAATAACTTTTCAAAGCCTTCCTTCTGCTTGCCTTACTTTCCAGCCTGTACCCTTAGTACATAATTTGTAAACATTGTCATGGAGGGTCCTGATGCTTTAATGTATGCAGACTAAAAGGATATACAAAATTAACCACATCTAAAAGTGACCAATGCAAGTCTACCCCCTTGTAAAATTATAGAAAGGTTTGCCTTTCAGTACATTAGATCTGCAGCTACATTAGTTGTTTCTGTGTCTTTAGATTTTGTGAAAGGGAACTGAAATCCAGCAAGTCGTATTAGGAGCCCATTCAGAAAATGAACAAAAAAGCAAATGAAAATGACCCAGAATGAGGTGGTATATTTTTCACTTTGTGTTTTGTAGACATAAGTCGCTTCTTTATAATTTGCAATTTTTTCTGAGAGGTGGTGGATTTTCACTTCAGAGGCAAACAATATCATGACAAGACAGCCACAGGAGCCTGCAACAGAAGAAACAACATGTTGGGACAAATATTTCCTGACTGTAAGGGCCAGGGAAGAGGGTCAATGTGTAAACCAAGGAAATCTCTTACCATCATCCCCATTTACATTCTCCACAAAAAAAATACTGCGTATTTGTAATCATGAGCCTGATTCTTCAATCTATAGGTAGTAGTGCTTGGGTTACGGTTCTGCTCTGAGTGAAGAAGATCTGTGTGTGTGTGTGTGTAGGAGTGCAGTGGGGGGTAAGGAGGTGGTTAGAATTACACTGATCTTACAAAGACTGGGAGATATTCCTCTTCGCATGATGTGAAGGCTGAATTGCTAGGCACTTTAAAGGCATAATGGTGGAATCAGGCTACAAAGCAGCCACTGCTATGATGTGGCTTCAAGAGAAAATATTTCTCTGTACTTCACAGCCATGCAGGATAAAGGCCAATCATGCGACCTCTTGTGAAAGGCCCCGGGCCTCCCTTCAGAAGGGTTACCACGGCTCCTTCAGCTTTCACTTGGCCACAGCAGCACAAAGGAAAACCTGAACAAAGGTAGCTATGGATAAGGTGTTGAGGGGGCGCACATCTCTATTCTCCTTGTTTGTAACAGAATTCAGATTTTTAGCTGGACATGTGAGTGTCTTGAATTAAGACGGCATTGTTCAACTAAGGGTGGTTGGGATGTATAGGTGGGAAAGTCTTCTTGAACTATACAGGTATTAGGGGCCTGTCCTTTCTTCCCTGCTTCCTCCTTGCTGTGGCTGAAATATGGATGCAATGACTGGAGCTCCAGCATACATTTTGGACCAATGTGGCCCCAGAAATGGAAGAAATACGCTGTGGAAAAACAAGAAAGAAGGAGTCTAAATCCCAGATCTTGGAGTCTCTGGACCAGCCCTGGACTTCAACCTCCAGATTTTTATGTGTAAGAAAAAAAAAATTTGTTTTATTTAGTACACTATTATTATTTTTCCCCCTCATCTATCACTCATTGGTAGCCTAATCTTAACAGATGTAGCTGTGATTTGGGTGAGATTGCTGGGGGACAGGGGCACTCCATACTGGCTGGAAGCTGGAAGCTCTGGTGAGTGTCTCCCCTGAAGATGGACAATGGGAGACTTCCAGATGGGTGGATGGCACAGGGAGCAGAAGCAGGTGGCAGGAGGGACCAGATCAGGAGCACATGGGATGACCAGGACTTCACAGCACTTCCACAGCCACTGTTCTACCCCAGGCCACCACAATAGGGTTCCAGTTAATAGGAGACTTGCTGGGATAGTTTTCTGCCTTAGGTGAAACCAATTTGGGTTCAAACCCTGATTCCTTTACTTATTATGCAAAAGTAGGCAATTTTAATATTCAGGTCTCAGTTTCTTCATCTATAAAAGGTGGTTAATATAAATAAAGCATGATTTGCATTTGGCATTGTAATTGACACATATAAATGCTTACTAATTGGTAGCTATTCGTATGGTTTTTATGGATTCCTTTTTTCTTGCAAGTCCTTATCATAATAGCTTGATTTAGGTCAAACCAATTTGGTTTCAAATCCTGATTCCTCCACTTACTATGTCAAATTAGGCAATTTTATTTCAAATCCCCAGCCCACCCCATATCAGGAACACCTGACTATATCAGGGTAGGCAATATAAAAGAACGTATCACAGTGTCTTTTTTCCCTCCGGATACTCTTCCACTGATTTTATGTCTCCTTTAGGACAGGTAAATGCTTTTTACTCTTCAGTTAAAGTTAATCCAAATATCCTAGGAGTGGCAACATAATGGCTTGAGTTTCTTTTCATTAATTCACTCGTTCATTTATTCATTAGACTTATATAGGGGACAGTTGTGGAGATTTAAACATTAAAGAAAATACACATGGTTTCTGCTCCCATGGAGTATAATTGGGCGGAGGACATAAAATCAATTACTAACCAATTACAGTGCATGTAATCAACGGGTAGTAGGGAGGCTGTTACTGAGAGGGTGGGCAGCATCATGGAAGTGTCCTTAGAAGGAGCCAGAAGGAGCTGTAGGAAAAGTTAGCTGAGCAGAGGGATGCTGGACTGTGTGGGGAGAGCATTGCAGGCAAGAGGAGCTATCATGCAGGTGACAGCCCCCATTCCTTTCCCAAAGGTCAGGCTGGGCTTGGGGTAGAGGTAGAGATTGCGGGGTAGGAATGAGGGGAGAGGTGAGCAGAAAAGGCGACATCACATTTCTTCTACTTTAGAATTTCACATAGAACTGGCCCATCAGTTTAATCATCATCAAATAATTGCATAATGTAATTTTCTTGAAATTTCACTTTCTACTATCCTCAGAGTGGTAGCTGAGAATATTCCTTTGTAAAATTTTGTCAGCCTATTTTTGTATTCTAAGCTTAAAACCAGTGCTCTCCCCTGGCAAAACCGTATTATTGCTTTATTGTTAGATCCTAACAAAAAGGCTGCAGTGCTGTTTTCTCTTTATCTTTTATTCGAAAATTGTGGAGAAAATGCCACTGCTTTTACCATAAGAGCCTTCTTTGTCTGAGGAGATGGTGAATTTCAGACAGAAGTGAAACACTATTTCCTGAGCACCTGAAAGGAAAATTCAAGCTCGGTTTCCTTTTCAAGTTGTTAAATATTTTAAAGGTAGTACTTTGTTAAGGAGACAGCGTTACAGCAAGGCTGTACTTCAAATTCCTAAAGTAAAAATTACTTGGGGTGTCATAAGACTCAAAGTCTTTTGCCATAGCTAATATTTCAAGCACACAGCCCCCAAAACAAAGTGTGCTGTCTAGTAGTAGAGAGGACAGTCTGATATCTTGCTCTGGGTTCTAGGGTTGATCACGAGGTCAGCATCGTCGTTTCAGGGCCAGAGGATAAAAACCCAGCCTGAGTCTCATAACCTTTCAGTGACTGCTAAGGGATAAGAGATATGAAGAGAGACAACTCAGTGTGAACTTGGGATATTTTTGCTTCTCTCTGTCCATAGCTCTAAAAAAGACATGGGATCAAGGATAACTATTTATGACTTATGGACCAAAAGATACGCATGAAGAGTTTCTCTTTGTGGCATGGCTGCTAAGGCTATAAAAGAAGTGTGTAAGGAATATGAGTGATGTGAGAATAGGACTAAACCTACCCACTTCCAGTACGACCCTTTGAATCCAGCAACAGGGGCTCCTGCTTTGTGCTCCACATTTAAAGGGTTCTGCTCTGTCTCTGTTCTGGAGAGGTTCCTTCCCATAGCACAAGGAATCCTTGAAGTCAATAGAACATACCCATCTGGCGTGCCCAACTCACATTTTAGTCCATACTCCTGGGACCCCGGAATTTACTTCATAAATAGCCCTGAGCCCATTTTCAAGGCCTATGTGGTCATTTCTCCTGGGTCAGTCCTCTCAGGGTCAAACGGTGGCTGAGGAATAGCTGTTTCAAGAGGCATGGTCAGAGCTTGGATACATGGTACAGTGTCCACACTCATATGCTTCAGGTTCTTTACCGTGTGCAGTGGAGCCAGGCAGGGGAAGAGAAGTGGGTTTTCATTCATACTCTTGCCCAAGACTTCACAAATGGTAGGATCAGTCCTACATGTCTCTCTCCTCTTTTTCCCAGTTATCCATGTACACCAAGAGCCCAAATCCACATGGTGCCATTTGGACAGATTCCTTATGTGTCTGTCCATCTGACCAACACTGCTCCTGCTCCCAAGAAAGGTTAGAATAAACCAGGACTTTGAAAAGCCTGCCAAACCTTGCTGGGGCTATAATTTGGAGTATAACCAGGCACAAGGCCCAGGTTTTGCTGCCCAGTGTCTTACTCAATGACCTACAGCCATTTTTCCTTTCATCCGTCTGATTTCCCCACCATCTGGCTGGTGCTGTAGGTTTTTTTTCTTCCTTTTAATGACTTTGATTACTGAGTTAATTTCTGACTGAATAGGATAGCTGAGTTATAGGGCTGTCACACCATGAATGATCAGTCAATTAACAAACGTTTGTAATGTGCTAGACACTGCACATTCATGACTCTCCTCTGACAGCTGTCTGAGACTGCAGAATTGAGCACCGGTCTCCCCCAGTCCTTACTATATGTGAACGTAGGACACAGCCATTGAGAGTTGCTTCTTCATCCCTGCGTGACCCCGAGGGCATCTATGCTTTTATGAGTGGGAACACCCTGCCAGGATCTGTGAGAGTCCAGAAGTACTATGGGTTTGGGTCCTCGAAGGGGAAGAAATGTCTGAAATGTTATCCTATTATCAGTAAGATCGTATTTTGGGAAATATTAAATTGGAATTTCAATTCCATTTAAAGTAATGATCAACATTTTCAGAAAGCTTTCAACACATCATCTTCAATTGTCTTATAGGTGACAGATATTAGAGGCATTTCATTGCCAATATAGAATGATAAATTGATAATTTCCTTTTCAAGGAATATTGAAAGATGATAAATGGGTGTGGGAAAGCCACAACTTTACAAGTGTAGGTGTTAATTTTCTCTAAAATTATGCCAATGTCACTTGAAAGTTGGTAATTGAAAGTAAGGTCACCAGCAATAATTTCTTCCCCCAATAGAAGTTGTTCTGAGTCTACACTGCTCCAGAGACCGATGGCTACCATCTAGAAAGGGACAGAGCGACAAGTGAAGAGAGTTAATACCAAAGAGTAGATTTTGAGATTGTGATGGCAAGCAATTTGGTCATGTGTTTCCAAAGGATAGATGTAGATGAAGGAATAACACCACTGGGTCTAGCCTTTTCACTTTATCTTCTGTAATGGAAAGTTGAAGAGCCCATATCTAACCTAAGTTTTACAGATGTTATGTTATTGAGAAGGATGATTAATGCAAAGAAGAAATGATCTAAAAATACAATGTCTATCTAATTTGAATTTATTTTCAGAAATATGTCTGAAAATATGACATTTTCAGAAGAATGTCATTTGTTACCAGAAAATATTTAGCTACTTCTGTTTTATTCATTTATTCAACAACTATTTATTGAGTGCCTATTGCACTG